TTATTTATTGTGGAGCATCCTGGTCTAAAACCTGCCTGTTCTTCTGCTAATTTCTTCCCCCCCACCCCAATCTCCAGTCCTCTATTTTGCTCAAAGAGAGTTTCATATGCATCTTGGAAACAATATCAATAAGACTTATGGGTCTATAATTTTTAGAATCTTCCCTGTCTCCTTCTTTGTATGTGGGGACTATGATAGACATGTCCCATCCCGCTGGGAAGTGACCCATGTTATTTATGTAAGAAAACAGTCCTGCCAGCAATTGGGCACCAGTCAATATGTGCCCTAAAAAATTCTTGAGGTAGACTCACCAACTAGAAGATACATACAGCATACTGGCACTCACTCAGGATATGGGGGCGGGGGGGGGAGGAAGGTTGCGTGAGAGGATAAGTGGGTGAAAAGTTCTAATTAAGGAAACTATAGCAAAGTGAATGGAACTAAAAATAAAAGTGATGAAATAATTTAGGTGAAACTGAATGGTGAAAGGAGTCCTTTAGAGATTTGTATGGGAATGATAGTGCTTAGGGTTACTCTAATGCTAATCTTCCCCTACTTCTTCCTGTGATCAGTCCCAGATGCAGTTTGTTCTCAATCTATGTTCTTTAGTCCACATTAGCATTATAAGCTTGGTAGTTTCTGATTTCCACCTTCTTCCCTTCATATATCAACAAATACGTATTTTAAGGAGACACAGATGGTCTGGAGGAAATGCTAACACAGGTAAATTAGAAGTCAATACACCCAATATTGAATAGAGCAGAGAATCTATACCTTGAGTACTAGTCATATATTGTATTTATGCTAATTTTTAGCATATCAATCTTGATACAAGAAAAAGAATAGAATAGTAACATCAAAGATAGTTATGATTAAAAGAGGAAGAAAAAATTCAGAAGAATTTTGATGCAAATTATGAACAGGACTAAACAATGAGCCTCCAGGAGAGTGAAAGGAATTTAACATAAAATAATGAAATGTTTTGAGATGAAATGGAAGTATGGGACCTGTGGAAGGATAGTTTAGAGTGCTGTATGGGAAGGATAGGGATAAGCCAAAGCAGAATGAAATGAATGAATGCTACAAGTATGATTGGTTGATTATGGGCCATCAAGCCAGTACTGACCCTTAGTGACTACAAAGACAGACCTTCTCTAGGATGATCTGTCCCTAACTTGGCCCTTCAAGATGTCCATTGCCACTGTGATTAAGTCCATCCACCCTTCTTCCACCTTTCTCAGCATTATTTACTTTTCAAGACAGCTAGACCTTCACACATTGGGCCCAAGAAATGATATTTTGAGCCTGGTCATTTGTGCCTCAAGTGAAAGTTCTGGATTACTTTTCCTTTGTGATTGATATCGAAGAAAATGATTCCTTATGTGTTTTCTTGGATATCAATAGTATTCTCAGGAGTTTTCTCCAACACCTAAGTTCAAAAGTGTTAATAATTTTTCTATCCTGCTTCTTCAAAATTCCCAACTTTTGCTTCCATAGAGTGTCACTGGAAAAATCATTGCCTGGACAATTCTGAACTTTGTAGGCTGTAGACACATTGTATGGCATCTGAATATCTTTTCTTTCTTGGCTACTTTACAAGTGCTAGTCTGTAGTGTATTTCTTGACTGTTGGTTCCTTTATGTTGATAATTGATTCCAAAAGGCAGAAGCTATCCATCACTTCAATCTCTTCATTATCAACAAGTCTAGTATACAACTGTGGTCTTGCTCTCCTCAAATCTAACCAGATTAACATCTGTTAATTTTTGAGCACAGACAAGTTTCCATTCTCTATTCCATTGTTTGGATTAAGGAACAATCTGTTCTATATAAGCCCCTTAACAAATGGTTGATGTTTTCTACATGGTGATAGATAGCTATCAAAAAGAATAGAAAGCAAAACAAAAGATTACTTTTCATCATTCAGTCTACATTCTCTACCACTTTACTTTCATTTTCATTCTTTTCCAGGAAGATGTCCTCACTTTAAAATGCAGCCACTCATTTCATTTTTGAGGAAAGACTCTGGGATAGTGTGAACAGCTCTGAGATACTGTATCTAGAAATAAACTCAGCCTGAGGTTAGTGCTTTGCTTTATAGTAACCTACCTTCTTGCTTTTATATATAAGCATATAAGGGGATAAGACAGGAAGGAGGGTATTCTGGGCATATTGGTTCATAGCGGAGTATATCAATATGCCCAGAATACCAATACAAGTACAACACTGGTCCAAGAGTGGAGAATGAAACAATGTTTTCCAGTTTAGAGTTACATTATAGGACATTTATATTGGTTATGCTTCTAGGTTTACCCTCTCATATTAATAGCTTTCTAGTTGGTTTATGATTAATTCCAAACAGGTGGCCCACTGACCCAACCCTATTAGCATCCTCATGGCTACTGGATTTCAGTATCATTTGTTTCCTTCTACCCAGCTCTCACTAATAGGTAGTGAAGTAATTAAAAATGTAAAGATGTTTTGAGAAAAGATTCTGAAAAAAAATATATTAGTTTCAAGAAATGATCAGAAAAGGTGGGACACATACAGGAACATTTCCCTGTTCTCAAAATCTGATAACTTTCCATAAATATTCTATACTGCATACAGACGCAGAAGTCTAAATTAAAAGCTTTAACAAAAGAGAGAGAGGCTTATTTTTGTCTTATTAGATGTGCTCTGATGTTTAGGTCAGGCCTGAACACAATGATGTAACATTTGGGGGAAAAGATGCAACCAAGAAGCCCAGCACCTGAGGCTAAGATGGAGAAGATCTCCACAGCCACCATGTATTTCCCCTTGGAGCTCAGGTATGCTGGGACAAAGGACAGCCAAA